CAAGCTGCAAACAGCCAGCAGCTCCCGCCAGCAGCAGCAGCGGGCGATGGGTGTTGGGTTGGGGAATGTGTTCAGGAGCAAGTGGTGGTGATGGTGTCCACGTCCTCATGCACATCTCTGCAGCATCGGCGGTGGAGGGTGTGTTGGCTGCTGCTGCTGTTGTTGTTGTTGCGATGGCCGTCAGGGAGGGCGTGAAAGAGAGGGGAATATAAGCAGCAGCTGCAAGGTGGAGAATGTGCAGGTGTGCAAGCAGTTGTGTGTGAGAACGAAAAGTGAGACAGCGCATCAAGCAAGGCAAAACAGGCAGCCGCACCACACACATGCACACATTGATGTGGGACAACAAGGGGAGACAGGAGCAACAAAGGCAGCGACCACAAAACACGCACACTGGTGCGGTGCGCAGCATACACACGCATGCATGCAGTGACGCACTCACGTTGCTCATCGCTTGCTTGGTTGCTTGCTTTGTGTTGTGGTGTGAGTTGGTGTTGCTGCTTCCACAGCCGCATACAGCGTGGCTGAATGGTCATCACATGGCAGCGCCCGTCTGTTCATCCCACCACAGCAGTGGTGGTGGTGGAGGGGAGGGGTGACAGCTGCTGGCTCAAGGCCCCTCTGTGTGGCGACAGCAGAAAGGAAGGAGAAAGAAACAAACGAGAAGGGTGGTGGTGTTGAAGGTGAGGGAAAGGAAGAAGGATGTGAGCAAGCGCACAAGAAAATGAGGAGGTGGTGGCGACGGCGTGTGGATGGGTGGAGAAGAGAACACGCACGTCGACACACACACTGACACACACACACACACACACACACACACACATGCACACACACACACACATTCATGGTGCAGCACATCACAGCACAACCGCCGCTGGTGTCTGGTTGGCTGGGCCAAGTTGTCACCTCAGTTTGCAACAATTTTTTTGTCTGCAGCAACCACCACAATGAGCGGTGTCGACAGTCTTGACGCGCAGGGCTTTCGGGATACCGGCGCTGAGGAGGATGGGCATGGCGATGATGTGCCTCCACCCGAGGCCCGCGCCTCAGCTGGCCGTTCCCGGGAAGGCCAGTCCCCCCCGCAGCGTCGTGTTGGAGACCGCGCGCGGTACCCTCAGCAGGTGGTGTTTCCCATGGTGCCCCCATTGTATCAGCAGCAATGGCATATTCCACCCCGCTGGATGTACGCGCAGCAACCGCCGTTTGTGTACCCCGCGAATCATCCCGCGAATCATCCGCAGCAGCAACAGCAGCAGCAACAACAGCAGCAACAGCAAGCCACGTCCCATGTGATGCACCCGTATCAGCAGCACCAGCACGTGACATCTTCTTCAATGACCCCGCAACAGCTGCCATTGGATGACTATGGCATGTCAACCGCGCCCGTTTCTTTCCGTTCACAGCAGCACCAACCGGTTGCGCAGTTGCTGCTTGTCGACCGAGAAGACGGCGAGATGGAGCAGGTGTATGCAGCACTGGCGCGTGAAACGCAGGAGCGGGAGGCCACCGAGAAGAAGCATGAGGTGCAGCTACAGCAGCTGAAAGAGGAGAACAAGGCCCAGCTGGAGAGTATCACAAAGGCGCACAAGCAACAGCTTGAGAAGCTCGAGGGGGAGCGGGATGCTTTGCAGAAGCAGCTGTCGGAGCTTCAAAAGAAGCACCAGCAAGAGTTGATTGCGCTGCGAGCGAAATACGATGCAGAGCTCGACCAGCTCAAGAAGGACCATGCTCGCGTGGTGCGCGGGCTCAAAGCACAGCTCGCAGAGAAGGACGAGGAGATCGAGGCGTTGCAAAAGGAACTGCGGAGTGTTCGGGCGGCGCTGCGGGCGCTCCAGTCGGAGATGCGCGATATGCGGCAGTCCCACGATGAGCAGATGCAGGCCATTCACGCCGAACTCGCTGCCACCCGTGCGCAGACCAGCCTCGTGAATGCGCGGCACGTCGTATCTCTGTTCCTCAATGACCTGGCGTACTACCTCGTTGAACGGTGGGACCACGAGACGCACGGCGATCTCAGTCACGTTCGTCACTGGAACGACATGGTACATGTCAAGACCGCGTGGCGCAGGAAGAAGGACGTCGACCGCATCCAAGTCATGGAGGCCCTTGAAGTGGTACAGCTGTTGCTTGCCACACGCCACCACGCATCCATTGCCCTGTGCTGTTCTCACATACCCTCCTCTGCCTTGCTTGCTTTGGTTGCAGGACATTGCACGTAAGGTGTTTGGCCTCAGCGCTGCGGACTTGCAGCGTCTCCGCGATTTCAAGCAAGGCGCCAATGCCTTTGTGCACCCAGGTGATCTTAAACGCGAGCAGGCCATCCAGTGCATCGCTGAATGTGACGCTGCGGAACGCACCAAACACCTGCTGCGCCAGTTGTGCGACAAGGTCACATGGTACACGGACTGGTGAACTGTGTGAACTGTGTGCCATTTTCCTTCCCTCTTGTTTCGATGCTGGTTTTTTTATTTGACCTGGGGCCTTGTGTGCGCTTGTGTTTGCATGCATAGTTGTCCCTGCTCAGTAAACGTGCACACCATATCAGGCAAAGACCACGTCTCGCACTCTTCCCACACACATGCACACGGTGGTTGGTGTCGGTGGAGGGTGTGCTCACAGTAACGTGGTAAAAGACGCATGTGTAATGAACATAAGGCAAGGCAGGGAGAGTGGTCGAGGGCGACCTCGTGGTGAGGCCTGCGGCAGCTCGACTTCAGCTTGTTGATCATGTGGTGTAGCACGTCTTCCAGGCGGACGTACTCTCCTGGGAGGAGACTTATTGACTGCAGCACTTCGGCCAGGGGAACCATGGAAGCTGATTGTCGTTGGGTTCGCGCTTGAGCTTGTGGAGGTCGCCCAGTAGTCGCCAGGCACGTCACCGTCCCGTTACCCTGTGGTAAAACATGCAACGAAACCGAGTGGATAAGCACATACGCCCTCTGTTGCTGGCGAGTACATCCCAACACACACACACATACACGCACACACATACACACGGCACCGCTGCTGCTGCCACTGCTGATGTTGTGCATGCATATGTGTGTGAAGGAGGAGAAAGGGAAGAGAGAGGAAACAGAAAACAGAAGGGAAGGAACAAGACATGCTGCACCCCATTCCATCCATCCATGCCTCCGTCTTCCTCACACCACACCACCACTACCGTCCTCTGTCATCAGCCAGCCACACCGCACCACACCACACTCACCCAGCATCCCCCCTCATTCATCCATCCATCCATGCAACACACATCTCCTCTCCGTTTTCCCTCTTCTTCGCCTGTCACCTCTGCTGGTGCTGCTTCCAGCCGAAAGTGCAACTTGTGCTGTCGCCACCTGTTCCCAGCAGCAAACAGCCAGCTTCCGCCAGCAGCAGTGGGCGATGGGTTGGTCGGAGGGATGTGTTCAGCAGCAAGTGGTGGTGGTGACGGTGGTAGTGGTGCTGCTGCTGTTGCTGTCCTCCTTGGTCCTTTCGTGCAGGCGATCACAAGAGGAGGGTCGTCCATGTGCATGTGCACGGCAACAGAGGAAATGGTGGATGTGGATGTGGTGGAGGTGAACACACCATCACACATGCGTGCGCGTGTGTGTGCGTGTGTGCGTGTGTGTGCGTGTGTGCGGCAGCTTGGGCGACGGCGGCAGCCTCATCTCAACGCACACCCTGCCATTGCTGTCGCTGTTGTGGCAGTGGTGGGTGTCAGAATCAGCACCAGCAGCAGCAGCGGCGACAAGGAGGAGGAGGAGGAGGTCATGGGTTCATCGGCAAAAGAGGATGAGGATGATGAGGATGGTGAGGCACTGTGGCTGGTTTGGTACATCAGTGGGAGAGGCTGTCGTGCCCTCTTCCCCTCACATCCCACCACCACCACCACCACCCACAACCCCAACAGTCAACTGAGCTGAGCTGGTCATCCCATCAACCCATGCTGCCATTGCTGTTGCTGGTGTTGTGTTGTGGGTATGCCCATCAAGGGGGTCGCACCAGCCCCCCGCTTCTCTTCTTCCCTCACAAGACGGGCAATGATGGCTAGCAGGTGCAG